AGAAAGAGCTCAAACTCGTGTACCCCTTATAGAAGAAATTCATACTAATCCATACTAATAATATAAATTCGAAGGTAATTCTGTTTGTCTGTCTGTTACCTTTTCACATCTAAACCACTGAATAGGTTTTAATAAAATTTGGCACAGAGATAGCTTATATATTGGAGATGGACATAGACAAAATTTTACTGCAAGAAAATATCTTACTCTTAAGAGAAAATTTGATATAATGTGGGTGAAGCTGTGGGTAGACAGCTAGTGATAAATAGAATGAGTTTTTTTTTTACATTTATTACCTTTAAAATACAATTCTAATAATAATGAAAATAACATAAGGTTATTTAATTTTAATGTGAAAAATGTGCACGATTTTCTTTGCACAACTTTGTAAAATCTGGTTGCTTTTTGGTCAGCTTCAGTCTTGAGTCATCTTCGAGTCGAAGTCGGTGACGATGTTTAGTTTTCATGTTTGTCATGGCCAAAAATCCGCTCTCACAGAGGTATGTTGTGCAAAATAGTAGTAAATATTTTTCTGCCGCTTTGCTAACACGATGATAATGATAATTGTACAATTAATACAAATTGTGTGAATTGTACAAATTTTGTTTCTTGCGTAAGAATTTTATTTAGGTATTGTCACAAATGCATTTTTTTTCATGAAATTTCAAAAATAATTTTAGTTATAAATAAACGAATTTGTGCATTTGACATTGTGTTGTAAATTGCCGAATTTTTGATGGTCCACCCATTATTTTTTAGATTGCTTCATCTCATGCATTTAAATTTTAAATTGACTGATTTTAGATTGCCACACGTAACCCTTTATGCAATTTTGCATACCCCTGGGGGTACGCATATCACTAATTGGGAAACATGGGTCTAGATGAATGAGTAGACAGTTCCAAAAGACATGAAAGTCCAACGTTTGTATCTGATGCAAATGGATGGAATTTTTATATCGTACTGTAGAGTCCTTCATCAGGTAGAGAGCACCATAAAATTATGTTTGGGTCACCAGTTTGTAGCGCTACTTTTGTAATTAATTATCTTACGATACAAAACCAGGCTACATACAAAACACTTAATCTTTAATTTCTTATGTACATGGGATATGATGCTACACTACCGGATGAACATAGAATCAAGAACACTTGTGTACAGAGTGAAGTCCAAATCCAAAGTGATGTCATAGGATCGGGTTGCCAGGTCTGTTAAGTTCAGAGTTCCTCCTGATGGTGACTTTTGGATTTATGACCAAAGCTGTTGCCACAGCAGTATTTCAACATGTAATAATAAAAACAAAGACACTGAGTTCAGCGTTACGTGCGTTTCTTTATCGCAAGCACTTTCAACGAACTTATAGTTGTCGTCCTCAGGCGAATACAGAAATTTACCAAAAAATTTTAAACAAAAATAATCGAATGCAGAATAGAACGCATAAGATAATTTGAAATTATGTTAAAGCCGTTAGGAACACGAAGTAACTGTTTAAACATAATTCGAAAACCGAACAAGCAGATAGCTCTGTGAAGTCGAGCTGGTACATGCGCAGAGCCATGCTCATGCTACATGCATACTAGAAACTGCTAATACTCGCTTAAACGCTTATACAGCGTGACCCATACACTAGGCAGCTTGAGCGTAGGGGAGTTGCAAGTGTCCAAGGTGGTAGTGAGGAGAGATTCCCATATAAAAACAGTTTTTCGTTTTTCATCTTTGCAGCTCTTAAGCATAACTGCTTGGGACCATAGCGGGTTGTAACCCTGCTCAAGTACCTTTCTTGCGAGCTCGGTGGTGTGTCTTCCCCCCATAACATCGTCTTGGTGCTCATCAAGGCGGCTGGAAAGCATTCTAGTGGTGGCCCCGATATATCTTGTGTTTACTTCCGTTGCCTGATTTTCTAAAGATACAGCATAGACCCCTGATTTCTCAAGAGTGGAAAATTTGTCTCTATCATTACAAATAAGTTTGTGTAGGCTTGGAAGTGGGGTTAAAGGTAGTACAAGATTGCGCTGCTTAAAGATTCTGCAGATGCGTAAAGATAGGGGTCCAAGATAAGGCAACGCTATTTGTATCTTCGAAGACTCTCTCTCGCTGCATAAAGTAGTACTTGGAAATAGTGCTTTCTTTACCTTATTGAGCACATGCGTAAATTTTGCACGCGAAAAGCCAGCAGCGCGTACCGCCAAACTGATGATATCTAACTCAACGTTTAACAGCTCCTGCATAGACGACAGTAAATAAGCCCTTCTGACAAGGGAGGCAATGGCAGTATTAACGTATTGAGAAAGCTGAAAGGCTTCTGCTGGTATAATGTGCGGAGCTATGCTAGATGTATGATGAATCGAGAATTGTAGTCCTTCCGAAGATTTACGTATATGCAAGTCTAAGAACGCTACTTCCGCATCACTTTCTTTCTCCCAAGTGAAATTGATGGAAGGATATATACTTGCGAGTTGTTGCATAAAGATGAGGAACGACTCCTCTGTGTCTTCCCACGCTATGAGGATGTCGTCAACATAATGCATTACTAAGAGATGGAAACTGCAAAATACCTCTTCTACACCTTGCTGAAGCAAAAGAAACAGTGGCACAAACTGCTTACCCAGCTACACTTTCTGTTAAACTGCAGAACTCAAAAGATTATACCGAAGTCTATTTCGTTTAAGTACAAGGCATTTCCACCGAGTCTACGACGGTTTCTTCCAAGTGTGGAAAAGTCTCTTCTCGCAAAGCTGATTAGGAACAAACGAAAGTACCTTGCAGAGGCGGAGCTCAGCCTCTATGCAACACACCTGCAGTTCACCAAAGCTTGTGATCCAGCTTTACTCTACGAGCAGTTAGGCAAAATACAAAGTATAGTATCCTATTTTGCCCAGAAGTTATAAAAGAAATTGAATAATTATTATTGGACTTCATGCAGGATATTATGTAATCAAGTTGAGAAAATTATCGTCTAGGCGTTAATAACCAACATCTATCGATCAATAGAATATTAACTGTTCTGTTAATTAACCTGAAGAAGACGAAAATAGTTTCGTTGAAAGCGCTTGTTATTTGTAGCGATAGATGTTGGTTATTAATGCCTAGACGATAATTTTCTCAACTTGATTACATAATATCCTGCATGAAGTCCAATAATAATTATTCAATTTCTTTTATAACTTCTGGGCAAAATAGGATACTATACTTTGTATTTTGCCTAACTGCTCGTAGAGTAAAGCTGGATCACAAGCTTTGGTGAACTGCAGGTGTGTTGCATAGAGGCTGAGCTCCGCCTCTGCAAGGTACTTTCGTTTGTTCCTAATCAGCTTTGCGAGAAGAGACTTTTCCACACTTGGAAGAAACCGTCGTAGACTCGGTGGAAATGCCTTGTACTTAAACGAAATAGACTTCGGTATAATCTTTTGAGTTCTGCAGTTTAACAGAAAGTGTAGCTGGGTAAGCAGTTTGTGCCACTGTTTCTTTTGCTTCAGCAAGGTGTAGAAGAGGTATTTTGCAGTTTCCATCTCTTAGTAATGCATTATGTTGACGACATCCTCATAGCGTGGGAAGACACAGAGGAGTCGTTCCTCATCTTTATGCAACAACTCGCAAGTATATATCCTTCCATCAATTTCACTTGGGAGAAAGAAAGCGATGCGGAAGTAGCGTTCTTAGACTTGCATATACGTAAATCTTCGGAAGGACTACAATTCTCGATTCATCATACATCTAGCATAGCTCCGCACATTATACCAGCAGAAGCCTTTCAGCTTTCTCAATACGTTAATACTGCCATTGCCTCCCTTGTCAGAAGGGCTTATTTACTGTCGTCTATGCAGGAGCTGTTAAACGTTGAGTTAGATATCATCAGTTTGGCGGTACGCGCTGCTGGCTTTTCGCGTGCAAAATTTACGCATGTGCTCAATAAGGTAAAGAAAGCACTATTTCCAAGTACTACTTTATGCAGCGAGAGAGAGTCTTCGAAGATACAAATAGCGTTGCCTTATCTTGGACCCCTATCTTTACGCATCTGCAGAATCTTTAAGCAGCGCAATCTTGTACTACCTTTAACCCCACTTCCAAGCCTACACAAACTTATTTGTAATGATAGAGACAAATTTTCCACTCTTGAGAAATCAGGGGTCTATGCTGTATCTTTAGAAAATCAGGCAACGGAAGTAAACACAAGATATATCGGGGCCACCACTAGAATGCTTTCCAGCCGCCTTGATGAGCACCAAGACGATGTTATGGGGGGAAGACACACCACCGAGCTCGCAAGAAAGGTACTTGAGCAGGGTTACAACCCGCTATGGTCCCAAGCAGTTATGCTTAAGAGCTGCAAAGATGAAAAACTGTTTTTATATGGGAATCTCTCCTCACTACCACCTTGGACACTTGCAACTCCCCTACGCTCAAGCTGCCTAGTGTATGGGTCACGCTGTATAAGCGTTTAAGCGAGTATTAGCAGTTTCTAGTATGCATGTAGCATGAGCATGGCTCTGCGCATGCACCAGCTCGCACTTCACAGAGCTATCTGCTTGTTCGGTTTTCGAATTATGTTTAAACAGTTACTTCGTGTTCCTAACGGCTTTAACATAATTTCAAATTATCTTATGCGTTCTATTCTGCATTCGATTATTTTTGTTTAAAATTTTTTGGTAAATTTCTGTATTCGCCTGAGGACGACAACTATAAGTTCGTTGAAAGTGCTTGCGATAAAGAAACGCACGTAACGCTGAACTCAGTGTCTTTGTTTTTATTATTATATATTAATTTGGCGTGTTAGTCATCCTATTGATTATTTCAACATGTTTCCCATGCTTTTCTATCCAGGATTTGTTTGAAACAAAAATTATTATTATTATTATTATTATAATTATTATTCTGGAATTAAATTTTTTTAATTAAAACTGTATAGTTTTGATTTATTATTAAAACAATCAGATGTTAATAAAATTTATTTTAAAATAATAATGCATTATTTTCTATTATAACCTTATTTATAATTACAGGTATTTTTACAATATTGACGGGAAAGTTGGTGCTTGATGTTTCTGTAAGTACAGTATCTAATCCATCCTCTCTCAGGAATTTCAAGGCATATTTCTCAGCACTAGGTAATAATGAATCTCTAAATGTTTGTAGAAAAATTTTTAATTATAAATTTGAATTTGTTCTATAATATTTAGTTCAGTTTTTAAAAGGTAAATAAATAATTGTTAAATTGCAAAGAGTGATGTTATTAGATGTAGGGTTCTTCTTTAAAACTTTCTAGATATTAAGAGTTTTTCAGTTTTTTACTGTTTACTATAGCAAACATTTAGTTAAATAAATGTTATGAAAATTAAAGTTTAATAAATAACACTTTGATCAAACAACCAAACTTAAAATCAAATATTTACAAATTATTTAATAACAATTAATATTTTTGGTTTTATCAAAAGGCTTTTTTCAGATGTTAATTACTACTTATAAAAGTACCTATATCAATATTCAAGCTCTTCAATATTTTGAATATATATTCTTTCCAAATGTTCTCTGAACATTAATATTTAAAAGTTCATAATGTTCCAATTGTATTTTAATTTATATCATTCTATTTCCTATTGTTTTTATAAGTTTGAACACCGGAAGATGATCTTTCAATAAGACTGAAAATGCCACTATTATTAAAATAATTTGTGATTGCTTCATTTTAAGCTTTTCTTGTTTGATAAATACAGTAGAGCATTGATTATCCGACTCAGTTAGGGACTGGGGTTGGTCGGATAACTGAAAAATATGAAAAAATACATTATTATTATAGTATATAGNCTTCACAGAGCTATCTGCTTGTTCGGTTTTCGAATTATGTTTAAACAGTTACTTCGTGTTCCTAACGGCTTTAACATAATTTCAAATTATCTTATGCGTTCTATTCTGCATTCGATTATTTTTGTTTAAAATTTTTTGGTAAATTTCTGTATTCGCCTGAGGACGACAACTATAAGTTCGTTGAAAGTGCTTGCGATAAAGAAACGCACGTAACGCTGAACTCAGTGTCTTTGTTTTTATTATTACATGTTGAAATACTGCTGTGGCAACAGCTTTGGTCATAAATCCAAAAGTCACCATCAGGAGGAACTCTGAACTTAACAGACCTGGCAACCCGATCCTATGACATCACTTTGGATTTGGACTTCACTCTGTACACAAGTGTTCTTGATTCTATGTTCATCCGGTAGTGTAGCATCATATCCCATGTACATAAGAAATTAAAGATTAAGTGTTTTGTATGTAGCCTGGTTTTGTATCGTAAGATAATTAATTACAAAAGTAGCGCTACAAACTGGTGACCCAAACATAATTTTATGGTGCTCTCTACCTGATGAAGGACTCTACAGTACGATATAAAAATTCCATCCATTTGCATCAGATACAAACGTTGGACTTTCATGTCTTTTGGAACTGTCTACTCATTCATCTAGACCCATGTTTCCCAATTAGTGATATGCGTACCCCCAGGGGTATGCAAAATTGCATAAAGGGTTACGTGTGGCAATCTAAAATCAGTCAATTTAAAATTTAAATGCATGAGATGAAGCAATCTAAAAAATAATGGGTGGACCATCAAAAATTCGGCAATTTACAACACAATGTCAAATGCACAAATTCGTTTATTTATAACTAAAATTATTTTTGAAATTTCATGAAAAAAAATGCATTTGTGACAATACCTAAATAAAATTCTTACGCAAGAAACAAAATTTGTACAATTCACACAATTTGTATTAATTGTACAATTATCATTATCATCGTGTTAGCAAAGCGGCAGAAAAATATTTACTACTATTTTGCACAACATACCTCTGTGAGAGCGGATTTTTGGCCATGACAAACATGAAAACTAAACATCGTCACCGACTTCGACTCGAAGATGACTCAAGACTGAAGCTGACCAAAAAGCAACCAGATTTTACAAAGTTGTGCAAAGAAAATCGTGCACATTTTTCACATTAAAATTAAATAACCTTATGTTATTTTCATTATTATTAGAATTGTATTTTAAAGGTAATAAATGTAAAAAAAAAACTCATTCTATTTATCACTAGCTGTCTACCCACAGCTTCACCCACATTATATCAAATTTTCTCTTAAGAGTAAGATATTTTCTTGCAGTAAAATTTTGTCTATGTCCATCTCCAATATATAAGCTATCTCTGTGCCAAATTTTATTAAAACCTATTCAGTGGTTTAGATGTGAAAAGGTAACAGACAGACAAACAGAATTACCTTCGAATTTATATTATTAGTATGGATTAGTATGAATTTCTTCTATAAGGGGTACACGAGTTTGAGCTCTTTCTTGAAGTGGTATGCAGGAAAAACTAATTGGGAACCACTGATCTAGATCTTCAAAAAGTGTAACCACAGATATTTTTCATCGTTGGTTGACTGTTTAACGGAAAAGTGTAGTACGTGCCATCCTCCTTTGTTCTCTTGCCACGTGCTTCTATGTCACATCCTTCTTTGTCCTCTCGCCACGTGCTGCACTGCACACACAACATGTCATTTACCTATACCCAACCTTCACACTGCCACAACTATGTTCAAACCACGGCTGACACAGAAAATGATGATCACCGTCATATAGCACGCATCACAATCAGACCCCCACCTTTCTGGAAGAGCAACCCTGTTTATGGTTCTCTCAGCTAGAAGTGAAATTTTCTATTACCAACAAAACCGTTGATGATACGAAATGTAAACATCAATTCGGCAGTAGAGCCCAAAATTTTAAATTCAGTACATGATCTAATCCTCAACCCACCCAACCAGAATAAATTTGCTTCTCTAAAGACAAGTCTTTAGAGAAGCAAATTTATTCTGGTTGGGTGAGTATTCGGAGAGAGAATCCTCCAAAATCAGAATGCTTCTTCAAGGGTTAGAGCTGAGAGACCAATGTCCATCCTTCCTGTTAACACGGATGCGCAACTTGGCCTGTAACCATTTTACTAAAGACCTCTTAAAATCCCTCTGGCTGTCAAGATTACCCCACAATATACAGGGCATTTTAGCCGCATCAAATGAAAAACTTCAACAACTGGCCACCATGGCTGACAAAATAATGGAAATAGTTTCCTTTGCGCACATCCAAACAGTCAAACATGACCTCATCGTGATCTCCATCCTGGAAAACAAAGTTGCAGAATTAGCCAAACAGGTCAAGAACCTCACTACATCAATCAACAACTTGCGCCGCTCCTTCAGATGTTCCGAATACCCCTCTAACAACATGAGATGCCACAGCAAACCACATCAAAATCAACAGCACAGCAGCCCTGACAACAGCACGTGTTTCTATCATGCTACTTTTGGGGCGTAGGCAAAAAAATGCAAAGTCTCTTGCTCCTTTCAACCAGCGAAAAACTGACTGGGCAGGCACTTACAGCCAGAAGTTGCACCACCACATCGACCGAATCACCATAGCCAACCCTACTACGAAATATAAATTCCTTATAGACACAGACGTCGACATCTCAGTGATTCCAAAAAGTTCCAACACATATTTATGCAAACCTGAGAAGCTAGTCTTCTTTGCCACAAATGGAACACCTATTCCAACTTACGGAACAAAGTTATTAACACTCAATTTTAACTTAAAGAGAAGTTTTTCATGGTCATTTGTAATTACCAATGTGACCAATCCAACCCATTATAGGAATCAACTTCTTAGCTAAATTCAACCTACAGGTGGATATCAAAAGCAATCGACTAATTGATGGGGTCACGTAACTTGGGTCTCCTGGTTGCCAGCAGAACCGATCCTCAACTCTCACTAACATCACTGCAGTGACTAATAACTCTACAAACAACTAGCGCTTTCAACGAAACTATTTTCGTCTTCTTCAGGTTGAAAGAACAATTAATAACCTTCAAATTCAAATTGCAGCAATGGCAAACCAGCATTGGAATAAAATCAAAACAGAACAAAAACAGAGAATTTGAAAGACACACGCTCGATGCTGACGCACATGAGCAATAGAATATTTTGCGAGAATGCGGAGCTAGCAATGTTGTTTTAATCTGTTGTATAAGTTGACCCATAACAAAGGCACATCCAGCGTGGGGGTGTTGCATGGATTTAGCACGCTGGTAAATAGTGCCTCCCACATATACAAGAGGTTCCTGCTATCACATTGTTTGAGTATCCTCACTTGGTCCCATATCAGAGTGCATTGCTGTTGCAACACCAATTGTTAAAGTTTTCCATCTGAAATATTCCTTAGTAATGTGGTTCAGATGGAAAACTTTAATAACAATGCGCAATAGACATGAGAATATTTCGTCCAGGGAGGTCTGAACAGATATAAGAACATCTAGAAAATGGTTGAGAGATAATGACATTGTTGCCTTAAGAGCAGACAAATCAAAACATGTAGTGCTCATGAAAAAGGAATCATACTGAAAGGCCAAAACACAATATATCTCGGACACGGAATGCACAGTAGCGCCTCGCGATTTTCTTGAGAAAATATCTGCCAAGACATTGAAGATCTCCAACACTCCTCTCACTAATACCTTGAATCTGGTGGCAACGAATTATGGCGCCATCTCTACCTTGTATATTTGCATTCGCAAAAACCCATAAGAGCGGACAACAGTTACGGGCGGTGGTGGATAAAACAACTTCTCCCACTATTAAAATGGAGAGACTTCTTAACAAATACATCACTAACAATCTAGAGTATCATACGTACACTGTCACTAATCCTGAAAAAGTACTTCAAAAATTACAGGATCTTGACAAGTCATTGATGGCATATTCCACAATATGTAACTATCAAACATTGTTCCCATCTATAAAACTGGAACCCTGTTTCTGTGAGTTGAGAGATTTTCTTCTGGCAAAGGTGGAAGGCTTTTATAAGTATCTTCCTGATGTGTTGGACTTATCACACTTGATGGTCCACTCGTCCTTCTTCGAATACGAAGGGGTCACCTACATGCAAACAAGGAGTGTGCCAACGGGCAGCCCAATATCAGGAACACTGTGAATTAGTGATCAGAAAACACGAGAATATATTATTCTACATCTGCTTTCTGACAACAGGATGGTAAGTCCTGCTCACTTTGTCATTGGATGGCCTTAATATACTAATTTAAGAATTTGGAGACAAGATGATCGTAAAAGCGTCATCTCCCATCAGGATTCCC